TCTTTTCAAATGATCAGAATCAACACTACAGTATGAAACTATATGTTTTTCGAACTATATTTAGAAAATCAATGCATAAAATTTGTTCCGCAATCATTGTAGTCTCATCATCGATTCTTATTTATGCAGTGAACAATTTTTTTCCGATGTCGTAAGCAATAGAAAGAATCGAAAATTTCAGAAAATCAAAAGGCTGGTTTTTCATCACTTAGAACTAATAAATATAATTTTGTTTAGACTATATCAAACGATAGAGTGAAGAATTCTCTACAGAATGAAACATCTCCGAGTTCTCTGCAACGTTTTTTTGGCTAAGATGCAGCAATCTTACGAAAGCTCCTAAAGTCGATTTTTTGTTCAATTTCCTAAAGAAAAATCATTTTTTGACTTTTCATCGATTTGTTGTATCTCAGCCAAAAAACATTATAGAGACACACGGCGATATGACTATATAAATAAGAATGTGTACGTATTGGATTATAAAAGATATTGTTTGGTTTTTAATGGGAAAGTGAGAATACATATGCAATAGTGAATGTTTGTTTGTATAATATATTTTTATTGATGAAAGAAAAAAAACAAACGTAGATATGAATCACGATGTAATGTCATGCATAGTTAATAAATGATTCAATTGTAGGATACTATTAATATTCGAAATCAGGTTTCAACGAAAAGCCTAAGTAATAGTCAGTTTTTATATTGTGATCGATAAATTCAAATGTATATCGAGATATTATTCATCATCGTTATGACGTAGATGAAGTTATCACCAGATTCGAGTTTTTCCAGCCCGGATACGCTAAGGAACTTGTTCCAAGTAGACCTCGACCAGCTCTATCAATTGATGTAATCAGGTTTTCCATAACTCGAATTATATTTTTGAGGTTTTTGTACAGTGCCATCTATGATCTCAAAAGCCATACTTTGGATTTCAGCAAAGCTGAGCATATCGCTAGATAGAGCTCGTCGAGGTGTACTTGGATTAAGCATAGGAAAATTGGAAAAATTTCCTTGGTGAATCTGCTGTTGTGTTATTTCTAATGGTACCTGGATCTCATGGTGAAGAACTCGTAAAATCGCTTTTCCAGGTCACCGGTTTGAGCTATAGAAACTTTGGTTACACCAACCGATAGAACTCATTGAGTTCTATATGAAACAAAAATAGAGGACTTGGAACAAGTTTCTGAGAGAATTCAGGCTGAAAAAACTCAAATCTGGCGATAACTTCACTTACGTATCATCATAACATTATCAAATGGTAAAATTAATTATTCACTTTTGTCTAATAAACTAAAATGCTTTTCAATATTACGTTCATTAAAATGTAAATAATATATAATTCGAAATGGTTGTCTTACGTGTGAACGTAATCTATATAATGTGTTAATGCAGTTATTTCACAGAAGGTTAATGAGAAAAAAAAACAAGTATTTGTGCATAATATGGATCTTTTAATTGTATATCCTATTAAATTGTATTCGATTATATAAACTGTAACAATGTTTTAATATGATATCAGTATAATTAAACTGAAACTTATGAGAATTTATTCAGAAGAGACAGGCAAAACTAGGAGATGGTGAAAAATGATACTACCAGACGATTATATATCACGTACAGGAATTCAGTTAGGGACTCACAGTTCCCTAGATGTGGATAGTGAACAACAAAAAATAAATGTACGTTGACTTTGCTTCTTAGAGTAGCCAATAAATGGCTAAAACCTTGATTCTTCACTTGTTCGTGTACGCAGAGAATGTCAGATGTTGGTAGAAAAAAGCTCGGGTTCGAATCCGCAAAAAACGTGGACCTACGATTCTCTAAATTCAGTATAATAACGATTTTGAGTTTAGGATCATTTATAATCGTAAGAAAAATCAATGATGTACCGTTTTCTATTTAGATTGGGAACAGAAAACATGAATAGGCCGTTGATTTTCTCTTCAAAATGATTAAATCGTTAGATATTGTTTTCTTTTTCAAGTCTCAGATAAAAAAAGATTATAAGTCCTCCTGTATTGATCAAAATCTTCGAAAAAAAAATATTGATATTAGACGTTTTTTATTTAGTAAAACTATGGCATTGCAAAAGTATTCATATAAAAAGTAATGCTTACCATCACAAAACTTCTTGAGTTATTCTGAAAAATACCTATACCAGTATTTTATCTTGCGTAAGAACCAAGAGGCGACACTCCTCTGAAGAATCGAGTTGGTCCTCCCGGAGTTCGTGATTATTGTAGCATGCACTATATATCTATTGTCCCAAAAAACAGGTACTAGCCTCCATAATATGAAATTTGAGAAGTTTGTTCACAATTTTCAGATACTTATAAATCGCTGCACAGAATAAAAAATAGTCAGTTCGAATCAGACTTCGATATTCTGCCTAAATGTATATATTTAGAATTTGTTTTTGCCAATAAGATGTAGTTATCTGTGAGCAAATACTTAAATAAATTAAGGATTGTGTTTACACTAATGAAGCAGAGTTGTAACCGGTCAAGAAAAATTAGACCGGTCCGGTCCGGCCGGTGGCCTGCCGGTCTAAAAAAAATTTCTAGACCGGCAAAAAACCGGCGATTTCATAATGTTGTTCAGTGAACAAAATTTTTATCATGGTAACAATAGGTACCTATACGAGTCCTTGTTATGTGTTGTGAAGATAGCATAGCTCAGTACATTTTTTTTAATATCACGAGACTAAGCTAGTTGGCAATGAAGTAGATTCTTCATGTGAAAATTTAAAGAACATTTTTTAAAATTGAATTCCGTTGTGCGAAAAATGATGCCCTTCCACGCAAATCAATCTGCCATTTTTATTTCTTCTCTTGTTTCAATGCAAAATTCGTATAAAACAATATATATAAATATAGAAAAACAAAAACTCAAGAGTATGAATAGCAAAAAAAAAACGATAAAAGCATATAAGTGCATCAGATGTGACAGTTCATTTGTTTTTTTAATAGTAGATAGTTTTATTTTCTCTTTGGAAAACATTCAGAAGAAAAAATTTTGAAAATTTTGTATTTAAAAATAATTGTACTCCTTTTCTTTAAAAAAGCATGAAGAGGCATGCAGTACTCTTCTAAAAAAAAAAGAATTAATATATTGTGTCAAAAATCTGCAACCGGCAAAAAACCGGCAAATTCCGGCCGGTTGAAGGACCTCCACCGGTCCGGTCCGGACCGGTGCCGGACCGGACCGGTTTTGCCGGACCGGTTACAACTCTGTAATGAAGTAACTATTCGAATTGATATTCGTCGTTTGAGCTTATATTGGATTTACAAGAAGGTCTTGGTAAGACTAGAAAAATTCTTAATCTTTAGTCGAGGTATTGAATTTTTAAATAAACTCGATTTTCTGGCAAACGACTATTTTTTGAAAATTCAATGTCTCAATAAAGGAATATTCTACTAATCATTTAACCTGTTGATCGAAATACCGTTATTTGAATTTTCGGTAGATCAAAACTTCAGTAAAATGGTCATAACTCGGCTTCAGAGTCCTACAGCGACGAACCTTTTTCGAATTTTTCTAGTCTTATCGAGACATCCCTGTGAACCAAATATGAACTCAAACGACGAGCATTAATTCGAATAGTTCTCTCGTCATTCGTAACTGTTCTGAATGATATTTTTGTACAACATTTTTAATTATCTACGTAATTATGAGTTCCAACAAGTCAGAGTTTAAATAACATGTTTTATTATTTCTGTATTTTCTCTTAATGAATCATCTGTAAGTCAGAAAAAAAAATTCTAAACATTTGAAGAATATGAAATTCTAATTTCAACTATCTAATTTTGAATCTATTCTATGACTTGTGAACAAAACTTGAAGGAATATATTGTGCAAACATATATTATTTGATGTTTTAATCATCTTTCTTGATTTATTTGTATTAATCAAATACAAAAAAAATTACAAATAAGAAATAAGATTTACATTAAATTTTATCCGCAAACCTCAAAATATATTTAAATAAAAAAATGAATGTCAATTCGATTTTTTGTTCGTATAATTAAATTATTTTCTTTAAATTGTATCATTCTATATACTGGAACATCATAATTTATAGGTATTATATTCCATTTTGAATCAATTGCCATTATTTTGCTATTAGCTGATGAATGTATTAGCCATTTAATATCTAATGTAACATTATTCATAGAAATCATTCTATAATCATCTATGAAATCTGATCCAGGAAGTAAAATTTTTTTAAAACATATCAATGTTTCTATATGTCGTAATTCCATACGCCATTGTTCAGTGAGATTATTATAAATTGTCATCGCAAGATTTGAACAATCATCTTGATTGATTGCTAAAATTATACCAATAAATTCATTATTAGTTAAATTCAATGAATGTCTTTTGCTTAATATCCAAAGATTATTTTCATTAGTTTTTTGCCATCTATCTATAAATTTTGGTTCCCATTCATCATATGCAATTAATAATGATGATTGATTATTGGATATCGTAAAACATTTGAATGGTTTTATGTCCTTTGATCTTATATTGGATATTGACTCGATAACCTTTGTATTTGGATTAAAGGTAAAAATGTTTGTTTCTGTAAGTAAGAAAAATTTTTTTTCAACATCATTCCATAGAGCATCTATAATATTTTGTTTTATGGGAGAATTTATAAAATCTATTTGCAAATGTTCATTAATAAGAACCAGTCGTTTTCTTTTATTTGTATATTCATTAACTAGAATATGATTTTGTGAGACGGCTAAAATTGGACGAGATGATACAAGTGGAATCTTGATCGCAGAGATTGAATTATGATTATTATCAATTATTGATTCTGATACTTGTAAATTCGAAGACTTATCATTATCAATTGGTGCTGTCATTTGTTTAATTACATGTGTTTGTGGAAGAGAATTAACAATTAACATACTGCTATTGAGAGAAGAAGAAGAAAAAACAACCATTATATATTTTCAAAGACAAAAATATTTTTCTTCTTACTTGCTGCTACAAATAACTAATTTCAATTAATGAAATATATATTCGACAGATATATATATATATGAGTAATAAAAAAACCCAACTCAGATTACTTCAGAAGAAGAACAGAAAAAAAAAATTATACAGTTCGAAGATATGTGATTATTATATAAAGAAAAAGGACGCTATATTTACTTTTTATAATGTATTTCTTATTTATGTGAGTATAAGAAGAACAAAAACACTGCTGTTTTGTTTTTCTTCGTAGGTTTATCAAGTTTCTTTTGCGACGTCACCTGACCCATACGTTTCATTTTATTTGCAGTTGAATATATTCAAACGCTTTTTTATAAGTGTTATGAATCATTAAAATTGCGTAATTGGAAAAAAAAATGAAATACATCATCATCATGTTGTCTATCGAGATGAAATATAAAAATTTTTCAAATGTCGTAGCTCATTTTTCATTGGTTAAACATTTGATTGACTTTCATTTTTTTTTGCATGTCAAAGATCGTAGTTCAGTAAAAAATGAATCACAATAGGAATTATTGAGTATATCATTAAGTATTTACTTTGTCAAGTCAATCAAAAGATTTAGAATTGATAAATTAATTAATTAAAAAGTTTTTCCTCTTACGTTCAGTGGATTGTTTCTCCAAGAGGAATTTTATACTATTGGGAAAAAAAGGAGGGGCTTATTTATCTGTACTGACAACAGTTTTTTCTTTGTCATTGGAATTGTTCTTAATGATCTTTATCATATTATGCATCAATTGGTTGATATAAATAAAACATAGCCGACAAATAGAAACCAAAAATAGCTACCATTTGGATAATTGACTGGCAGACATATTAAGAATATTTCATTGCCAAGAAAATCAGACATAACAGCATAATGCAACCACAAATATTTCTTATTTTATTTTGTTTGATTGCAACATTTTTTATTGATTCAAACAATGGTGCATCGACAAAAGATAAACCATCGCCTAATAAAAATAAGAAGACTTCAACGAATACAAAGTAGAATTGAATTATCATATATATACTTTTTTTTTATATAGTTTTATTTCAAGGCCAATTATTCTCGGTGGTCATACAGCATGGACTACAGTGATCAAACCAAAACATAAAAAAATCTTTGATGATGTAATTTCATTTATAGTAATTCCAAAAATCGATTTTTTTTTTCATGTAATAATAACTCGTATAAAGAACGAATTTTTTTATCGAAATTAAATCTGTATGATCAATTTTTGGAATTACTGTATTTATATTTTTTTTCCCTCTTGAAAATTATATTTCATTATTTTTTTTGTTTAGTATAAAAACATTACGTTTAAAAAACTTCAAGAAATTCATAAAATACCAAAATCATTCGATCTTAAACCAGATAAATATTCGAAACAAATTGTTGGTGGAATTAATCATCTCTATTTAATAAAATTACCAATAAATAAATATGCATTTGTATCCATTCATCATCGTGTATGGAAAAAAGATCATTATGGTAAAGAAGAAAATGTTCAAATACGACCACAAACTTATGAATTAAATGATAAAAATGTTTAAAAAGTTTATTTTCTTTTTTATTATATATATTAAAGATGAATAAATTTAAAAAAAAACAAATGAAACTAAGGGTTTTTCTTTTTTTTTTTGCATACAAATAAAAGATTTTTATGTAGATGAACAAAAAAATTGTCGCATTCGTTCACATGAAGTATTTTCACAACCAGGACAACGTAAAGGCAATTGATTTGTATGACGACGTTGATTTTGTAAATGTTTTAAAACAATATCAGCCATAGCCTAAATAGATTTATTGAAAAAATATTAAACAAAAAACAAGATTTACTTTGATAAATAAAGGATTATCATTTAATGATGAACATCGACGAATCATTTCAACACCAGCCTAAATATAATGACATATTAATGATAATAAAAATAAAAATTAACTTACACTTTTAGCAAGATGTTGACTATATTCTATATCGAGTTCATGTAATGTTTCGATATGATCACCTAGGAAAATAAAACAAAAACAAAAAAGGTCGAGTTCGTGTTGAGAAATTAAATGAATTAAACTCTTGTGATACGATAATATACACGATACAGAATCTTATATGCAATATTAAAATTTCAGTAGAATTGTTATTAAATTTTCTAAATCATTTTCAGCAGTCGGACGATTGAATAATTATGAATCTTTTAAAGGGAACCCCGCCGGATAAAATCGAAAAGCATTGCGTCATTAAATTTTTAAATATTAATGAAAAAACGAAAATTTTGATCGTAAAAAACCAAAAGTTATCTTGATAAACTTCAATCACATCCGCCCACACTCACACCCTTTTATACTCACTTGTAAATGCAATTGGTACTAAAAGAATATGACGTCGATTATTTCTAGCTAAACCTTTAATAGCATCATCAGTTGCACAACCAAGCCATGGTCTAGGTCCTACCTAAAAAATTTCAAAATGTTATTGAAATTATGATTTAATTGTTTCATAATAAATAAAAATTACTTTTGATTGCCAAACAAGTCGATATGGATTTGAAAACTTTAATGATTCCATAACTGCTTGAACAGTTGCAGCAACTTCAGCTGGATAAGGATCACCACGATTAACTACCTAAATAATCAATTAAAAATTTAATTTTTTTTTCTTAACTACTTACTGTCATTGGTAATGAATGTGCTGAAAATAAAATTACTACATCATTTCGTACATGTATTGGAAATTTTTTTAATTCATTACGAATATTCTCAGTAAATGCCTGAAAAAGAAAATACTTTTCTTTTTTTTGTTTTCTTACAATCATTTTCTCTTACTTCAACAAGTCCAGGATGTGTTTGCCAACGATCGATAACACTCCATTTAAGATCTTCTATTGGTTGAATATCTTTTGATTCATCAAAATAAGATATTTTATTTGCTTTTTCTAATCCTAATTTTTCTTTTTTTTCTGCATAATATCTTGCAATAGCATTTAAACTACTACCCGTTGTTGAACAACTATATTGTGGATATTGTGTAAATGCAATAACTCGTTTAGGACGATCTCTAAAATTTATTTCTATTAAAAAATTTTATATAAAAATAGGAACAGGATCGATAACTGTTAGAATTGGCTCCCTCGTAGAATTAGACATGTAATACTTGTCTGTGTTATGCACAGATCAATGGTTCGATGGAACTTTTCAAGTACTTCAAAATGGTATTTTGGAGTGAAAACTAATATGATACTCTGAATTAACATTCTAGAACGAGTGGACTAACGTATTTTTCAAATATTTTTACTAACATTTTTTTTGGTTGAAAAATTCACCCTGATCTCGCTCCTTAGGGTTGAATCAAAAAATGAATTTCTAGAAAACTCTGTTTCATTTGCTAGTCTATCGTTTTGTAATCGTAGAACTTGATTCCCACCATCAAACAAACTTTTCTATGGAATTAATTTTTTTGGCGAAACCCTGAAGAGGACCAATGGTGAATTTATTAACGAAGAAAAAAGTCTGTCAAAGTATTTGAGATACTGATGAGTCCATTCACACACTTTGAGAAAAAAGAAAACAAGAATTTTTACTTTTCAATTTCATCTAAAGCCATTTCAGTTAATGGCTTAACATAACGAAAACCAATATAAAATTTATGAGGTGCTAAAAACAAAAAATAAAAATAAAATTCATATTTCTATGCAAAAATTTTTCTGTTTTGTATACCTGTTGATGGAGATACTTGATCAAGGATTTTAACCATTCCTTGACCTTGTTTTTCTGTCCACATTTTAATTGGTGATCCTCCACCTATTTTTGCATATTGTTCTTGAATACTTGGTGTACGACGACGAGCAATCCATGGACCTAATTTTCTTAAAATAAAAACAGAAAATAAAATAAAATTCTTTTGAATAATAAAAAAAAACAAACATACTTTTGTACAGGTAATGGAATAAGATCTTTATCAGAAAACAGACGAGTAAGAAAATCCAATACGTCATTAGTTGTTTCTGGTCCACCCATGTTAAGTAGAAGAATTCCTGTATTTACTTGAGTTTTATCATATTGTTGATTAGAAGAATTTATTGGAATAGTACTCATTGTACGAATACGTGAGAGAAACATTTCTTTAATTAAACTAGATGATAAACCAAATTTTAATTGTGATATTAATATCATTTTGATAGATGAAAATAATCTGAAATAAAATCATATGATCTTTTGGATTTTATTTTAAGCTATTACAGAAAAAAAAAAGAAGACGAATCAAAAAAAAAACATGTTATCTGTTGTACTATTCAATAATTCACTGTACTTATCTGACAAGATTATATCGAATTGAATATCAATAATCAGTCACCAGAGATTTTCGAACTAAAAAGAAAAAAAGAGATATGATAGTTTATAGATAATAATTGATATATCTAGCGACGAGTGAGACTAATCGTTTCTTGGTTCTGCTTTTGCAGTTAGTAATACATATGAAATGTCATTTTCTGACAAGGTCAATGCGCTCGTGACATCTTGTACGAACCGCATGACATCTAGTATCTTTTCTCTTGGAGATTCATTACTTTTTCTTTAATTCACTAATGTTCGATGACTCTGTTGTTTACGATTCTGATTTTTTTATCATTCTTCAACTAATATCATAATAATAAAATTTGTTACAATATGTTAAGGTAATATTAGATGCATCTTCTTCTTGAAGTTCTCCCTGTTCTTCTTCTTCTTCTTTTGTCGACAAAATCTTTATGAAGAAGTACTAATATTCTATTGGTTACATAAATTATCAGAAACAAAGTTCTATAGGGTATCCCAATAGTATAGGAACCTCTCCTCCCCCATACATTCATACAATAATATTTGTTTCATTAAGGAAAGAGGAACAGACAAAGACAATCAACAATTGCAATAGTTCGTAGACAATCATGCTCACATAAATAGGTTATCAATAGTTTAGTAATATAAACTTTTCCCAATGAAATAAGTATTATTGTATGAATGTATGGGGGAGGGGGAGTCCTATAATTTTGGAATACCGTATACTTTACTAGGAGAGTGGAAAAAATCGTATCAAATTTGAACTGATGAAAGTTTTATTGATCTTATTGTCATTGCGTTTCGAAAGGAAATAAGTTTTTTGATTAACTAGTCAAAAAATAAGATTGTGAACGCCGTTTTATTGTCAAAATCTAGGAATTCATATGCAGATGAAATATACATCGTTGACTGATCCAGTTGTCGACAAACT